TCAGTGCTCTGTGAAGATTAAATGAGTCATTACATATCACCCTGCTCAGTGCACAGCAGCCACAGTGAAAGAACCAGGCCCCTAGCCTGCTGGCCGCAGCAAACAGGAATGAGCGGCTGGAGTCAAGATGGGGGCAGAGGCGGCCCACCTGCCAGGCCTCCTGTACATCTGGGGCCTTTGGGAATTAGAGGTCCTGCAGTAACCACAAACTGACAGAGTAATGGCAATGCTGGAAGCTACTGTTTATGGACCTACTGTGTACTGGGCTCTGTGCTGGGCACTTTGATTTTTAGGCCAGTTCAGACCTCTGCTTGGAAGCTAAAAGACCCCAAAAGTTGTGAAATTCACCTCCCATCTTCAGAGAAGCACCTCGCGGGAGAGGAACACAGGTTCTTCGGAAAATGGGGACACTCTTTCTCACAGCAGCTTCTCTGAGAGCTGCCTCGGCCTGGGAAAGAAACCTAACACCTGCTGGCCCTCTGTGATGCACTGGGGATCTATACAACACGGCGGATCTATACAACACTGTCTCATCAAATCGTCACACCAACTCCATGAAGAAGGAACTACTAGGTCACGCTCAGTTTGAGGAAACTGAGGGTCAAAAGGGTTAGGTGACTTGCCCAAGGGCACCCAGTGCCAAGTGGCATATCCAGGACAAGAACACAGATCTTTGCACTTCAAAATCCACACCCCACTTAACATCCCAACTGTCTCGGGTGGCAACGCTCTTCCTTTCTCTCTCTGCACAAATGGATCCCCACCAGCCATCGAGAACTGCTTCACACCCACCCAGAGATGGAACTTGTGTTTACTTGGCAACTAGCAAATGAATCTCAGAGGAAGTTTGAAATCTGAGACAGAAGTAAATATTTGACATAAGGAAGAAGCAAAATGCTTAGTGGCAGAGAGGAACATAACCCTGAGCCTCTGGTCAGTCCTCTGTACATTTCACCGCACTGGGCACAAGAACCCCATGCAGAGGTTCTGTCCTTATACCCACTGTACAGATCAAAGAGCTGAGGTTTGGACGGTTAAACAGTGTCTCCAGCTCGGAAGGGGCAGAGCCAGGATGTGAACCAGGCTTGTCTGTGTCTAGACCCCACGCTTTCCTCAGCTTACCCTGCTGCTTCTCATTTATTCCCACTCTGTTGAACCGTGTCTCCAAGAGGTGATGCCCTTGCTTGGGAGAAAGATCTGCTGAGCACTTCTCTTATGTATCCCTGGAGTTACATAAGGACATGGGGGCGGGGGTGCCTCCAGGGGCCCAAGACGGTCCCAGGAAGCTGGGAAGAGGCGGACAGACCGCCACGCCGTCTCGTCTCCTGGGCCTCTTCCACTGCTTCGCCAGGCTGCAGAGTCCAGGCCCCAGGGGGAAGGAGGATTTTCCAAAACAGAACAGCAGGCCTCAGCAGGCATCCACACCACGGCTCCCCGGGCCCTGGGTAATTGTGTAAATACTCACACACTCAACTCCCTGAACTTTTCTTCCTCCTTAATTGGCTTTCCAGTTTTCTCAGCTGCACATGCCAAGTCATCTGGAAACCTGGTGCACCCACCGGCTTCCATCCCACCTCTGCTAGGTTCTGAGTGGGATTCTGGAGTCTGCTCAGCATGTCAGTGCCCTCCAGATTCAAGGGGTGTGTGGGGGTAGACGGCACGGGAAACAAGAACCACACTGGGCACATCTCAGCCCCAGGCTGCTGGGGCCCTCCCTCCATCCCTGTCCCCACCCCTGGGCTTCCCTGCTCTGACCAGCCCCTCAGGCCAGTCCTGACCCAGGTCGTCTGTTCTGCCTCCTCCATTTGATAAGTTCTTGAAGGCTGAGCTGAAGCTTCCCTCCAATTCCCTAGAGCACACGAGACTCTCTTCTGCCCCGCTCCTGCCCCCCGGATACTCCCTGACCCGGCCCCTCCCTGGTCACCTCTCTCCACCCTTGACTGAGCCAGTCCACTGGCAGCTGTGGAGTCAGGAAGACCCGAGTCTAAAAACCCTGCTTCTTCTCCTCCCTCATGGTCTGATCTCGGGCACCTCATCTCACTGGGGGCCTGTGTCCTCACCTGTGACGGGTATAGTCCCACCCCACACACTCCAATGCCCCCTGGAGTGATTCAATGAAATGATGTCTGGAAGGTACTCTGTCTGATGGCTGGCACCTAGCGGTGCTTCATAAACCCAGCAGATGTGTGCTGTTATTTTTATTATCACCGCCCCTGCAAATACCCCGCTATTTCTCACCTCCGTGCCTCTGCCCACAAGGCTCCCTCTTCCTGGACCGCCCTGCCCAACCTGGTTTACCTGGCAAATACCTATCCACGTCTCACAACTCAGCTCGAACTATCCTCTCTCACACCAAGCCTCTTCTAAACCCCTCCCTCCAGGCCCAGGTCGGGGAACGGACCCTGACCCCCCTCCCTGCACAGTCCCTCCCCAGCCCCGATGCTTCCACACTCCCTCCACTGGCCTGGGGACTCTGCAGAACGAGGACTGGGTCTCTGTGCTCCTCAGTCCCCAGAGCCCAGCATAGGCTGGGGCTTGGCACAGAGCAGACACTTAATGAAACAACAGTAATCACAGCTGGCCCTCCCAGAGAGTTTCCTCTCTCTCTGTGTATATATATCTTCTTGTAACTGGCATCACAACCCTGTGAGGGAGGTTTTATCATCACACACATTATACAGATGGCGAAATCAACAGGCAGCAAGGTTAAGTTACATACCCAATGTCACAGAGCCAGAGGCAGAGTTGGGATTTGAACTCGGGTCTCTCTGACTCCAGAGTGCATGCTCCTAACCACTCTAGGTAAGAGGAGGAATAGCTACAGGGGATGTGAGCTGAACCCTAGTGGTCAGAGACTCTGCAAGTACCAAGGATTCTGGTCTTGAGGACACAGAACCGAGCGTGCCCCTGCTCATGCCGGATACGAGAAAGCCCTTCATGCGGCTGTCTCAGGGCAGAGCCAACCCCACCCTCTGGACGACTGAGCATTTCTAACAAGCGCCCAGGTAATGCTGATGTTGCCACCGACCACACTTTGGGGAGTGAGGGTCTCGAGCAGTGGTTCTCAAAGTGTGGTCCCCAGACCAGCAGCTTCAGCTGGGAGCTTGTTAGAAATGCAAGTTCTCAGGCCCCACCCCAGACCTACGGAATCAGAAACTCTGGGGCTTGCACCCAGCAATCTGAGTATTAACAAGCCCTCTGGGGACTGAGATGCACTAAATCTGAGAGCCGCCCGGTCTTGCCTCCATCTTGTAAGGCCCAGCCCTACCCTAACCCGTCAGCTCAAGGCACTCATGGAGGTGAGTGCAGTGATGCAGGAGCGCCTGTGAAGCGAGCAGCAGCCCTGAGGGTCAGCCCTGCCTCTGTCCTTGCCAGCTCTCTGACCTGTGGCAGGTTCTCGCCCTCTCTGAGCTTCAGAGCCCTTAAAGCAGGGATGTGGGAGCCGCCCTCCTGCCGCAGAGGATGCCCTCGATTGCACTGTAGCACTTCTGTCCCCACCCTCTGACTACCCTGCAGCTCTTGATCACAGGGCTCGACGGTGGTGCAGGTTCTTGTGGACACAAGTAAAACGTTCCTTATAGAGACACGGGTAACTAGAGGAACTACAGACAGTGACACTCCCATGTTGGAAGGACAGGGCTGAGGAAGGGGGGCTGCAAATGAATAGACCACTTAACTATCAGAGGAGGATGTCAACAGAAAATGGAGTTGACCGTAGTCAAACTGACAAACAAGAGAGCACCATCTCCGTATCGTTAATAACGCTCTCTAGACGCTCTCTCTCCATCCGCACATCCTTCTACAGACAGAGACGCACGCAGAGGTATCTGGGATGACAACCGGGGCCAGTGTCCGGATAACGAGACTGGAGGCAATTTCTGGCTTTCCCCTCTAAACCTTCCTGTACTAGGTGAATTTTGTATAATACGCATAATTATTTTTTCACCAAACAATAAAAGTCATTACTTAAAAATAGCATTATAGGCATCCTACGCAGCAATGCAGAAGTAAATATGGGAAGTGGTCAACGACCGTCTCTGGGAGTGGATGGAGAAAGAGATGGTGGAGCACGGGACACACGTATGTGTCATTTGGTTAAAAGGACTTATTAAAAATACAGAGCGATTCTGACACACGCTACAACAGGGATGACCTGGAGGACATTACAATAAGGGAAATAAACCAGTCACAAAAGGACGAATACTGTAGGGTTCCACTCATGTGAGGCCCCTAGAACAGTCAACTACACAGAGACGTTAAGGGGAGTGGTGGGTGCCAGGGGCCAGGGAAGGGGAAGTTGTGTTTAATGAGGTCAGAGTTCAGTTTGGGAAGATGAAGTTTCTAGAGATGGATGGTGGTGATGGTAGCATAACAATGTGAATGCGCTTAACGCCACTGAACTGTACACTTAAAAATGGTTGAGATGGTGAATTTTACGTTACACATAATTTACCACAATTAAAAAAAAAGAAAGAAAGGAGACATAAAAAAAAAGGCAAGGTTTCAATGTATGTGCCTGAGGTACTATTTTCCACTAGGATGGAAATGGATCAGGGTGGTCCTCCATCCATCACTCTCCCTCGATGTCTCTCAGTTGGAGGCAAGAGCGGAGGGTTAGACCAGCGCCTCCCTGCCTCGGGATGGCTGTCCGCAGCGAGGGGCTGTCCCGGGCACCGTGGGGTGTTGTGCATCCTTGGCCTCTATACACCAGACGCCAGGGTCTCCTCCTGCCCCTAGTGGTGACAACCAAAGACACCTCCAGACATTGCCAATGTCGCTGGGGGACAAGATCGCCCATGGTCAAGAAGCCCTGGGTTAGACTGAGCTAACGGGAACTGCACGTGGCTGTGGCCCAGGACAGGCGAGGGAGGACTGTCGACATCGTGGGCGGCCGCAGGAGTGAGGACCGCCCCCTCGCTCCCTCCTGCCCACAGAGGCCAGGCTGACTCCCCAGAGCAGACCAGGTAGGCATTGTGGGGCTCCGCCTTCCCACCCCTTACCCAGCCGGATGTCTCCCTCGAGGGTCATCAGCACATTGCCGGCCTTCAGGTCCCGGTGGATGATCCTCTTGCCGTGCAGGAAGCTGAGGGCTTCCAGCATCTGGCGACAAATGACCTGAATCTGGGGCTCGGTGAGGCCTCTGTCCAGCTCTGGAAACAGAGAGGAGAACTGTTGTCAATTCAACAAACGCTCACTGCAGGCAACAGAATGTCAGGCCCACACCAGGTACGAGAAATACAAAAGTTACCAACATTCTTGAGCACTTACTGTGCACCAGGTTCACTTCACATGTTACCTATTTCATCTTCACAGTAACCCTATGGAGCAGGAAAATTATTACCCCATTTTACAGATGAAGAAACCAAGGCTCAGAGAGGTCAAGTCACTTGCTCAAGGTCACAGACGTAGGAAGTCACAGATCTGAGACTCAAACCAGCCAGTCTGGCTTCGGAGCTCAGGGTCGTCAACACAACCCTCCGAGAAGCAGAGATTGCGCTGGCAGCAGGCTCCGAGTGATCCTACTCCATGTCAGCTCCATGCTTGGTGCAGGGACGTGGAGAGGGACATAGAAACAGTGAGCAATGCTTGGAACCGAGTGGGATTCGGGCACGTGGGAGGGCCGGACGGGCAGCATCCCCCTCCTCCCGGGGAACTGGGATGCTCCCCAGAGGAGCTGTGTCTTGAAGGTGTTTAAGAGGAGACAAGGTGGGGCCAAGGCATCCCAGGTCAAGGAACCAGCACAAGTGAAAAGCCAGAGGCTGACATGAGCTGGCTGGCGGTGGTGGAGTGGAAATGTGGAAGGTGAAGGGCTGGCCAGAGGGCCGTCACCAAGAGCCTCTCGTGTGCTAGTCAGGGACACATACGCACACACTGCGTACAACCCAGTGTACACCGAGGGACAGGAGGGCCCTTCTTCCAAGCAGGTGGGGACCACGAAGAAGGGTATTCCACTCGTGGGGAACAGCACGTGCAAAGGACCCCAGTTGGCTGAAGGGGAAAGTTGAGTCAAGGTCAGAGGTCAGCAGGGCCTGATTCTGCAGGACTTTGCAGGCCATGCTCTGGAGCTGCTTTTTATTAGAAATACAACAGGCAGTCCAGGAGAGGCCCTAAGCGAGGCAGAGAGACAATCTGATATTTGCATTTACAAAATTCCCTCTACTGGTCTTCCTCAGCAAAAAGAGGAGGATTAGCATGGATGTTAGCTCAGGGCTGATCTTCCTCACAAATAAATAAATAAATAAATAAATAAAACTGTTTAAAAAAAAATAAAAAATAAATTTAAAAATTTACTCTAAAAAATAAATAAATAAAAAATCCCCTCTAGCGCAGTGAGTGAGGAGCTGGCAGGGGAGCAAGAGTGGCAGGCAGCTTGGCTGGGGGCTGTCACGTGGTCCAGGAGGGCCAGAGGGTGGCCAAGGCAGAAAAGAGGAAGGATGCCCAACTCGATGGGTCAGGGAGGTGGGAACGACAGAATGAGGGACCGAGTGGGTGCGGTGGGAGGAAGGGCGAGAGAAGATTCAAGGGTGACATCCTGAGCTCACGGCCCCACGTGGCCATTGGGATTATTTAGTTCCTGTGGCTACCCAAGCCCCTGTGCTGAGGTGAGCCCCCGCCGCCCTGCCTGCTGGCTCCCCAGGCTGCAGGCTCCAAGGCTGGCCAACCAGGGCCCTGCTCCAAGGCCGTCCTCGGGGTAGAGCAGCCCTCTGCCTCTGTCTCCCCTGCCGTGCCTGGCCAGGAACCCACAAGGTCAGACCCCTCAGGCTTGGTAAAAATGAACACCAGCCAGGGTGGAGATGCCTCCGCACTGCCCTGGGAGGCCTCAGCTCAGAGCACGGCTCCGGCACAGGGGTCCCTCCCTCTGGGGTCCACAACTGCTCCCCCTCCCTGTGGCCCCATCCTTAACCTCCATGTAACCCCCAACCAGAGGCCAGGCCCAGAGCCTTCAGGGTCACACAGACTGAGCAGGAACCCAGGCGTGCCTCTCACTGGCTGTGTGGTTTCTGGCAAGTCGCTCATGTCTCTGCGTCTTCGTGTCCTGGTCTGTAAAGCGGGATGATGATCATCGATGTGGGCAGGGCTCCAGACATAAGGCATGTTAACTCCTCAGCATGGAGGACTGGCAATAAAAGGTGAGTATTGTTGCGCTGGTCCTGAGATTACACTGCGTTATCTGCAGCACCTTTTCTAAATGTCAGAAATGTGTCTTGCTCATGTCTGATGAACTTATACAAATGAAATAGGAATAATCAAAGTGACAATGATGACGATTTCATCACCACTGTTTTTTGAGCCTTTACAATGTGCCAGGCATGGGGCTATTATTTGGGTACGTCATTTCATTTAATTTTCACAATAACCCAATGACATAGATAGGATACCTTTTCTAAGTCCAGTTTATTGAGATATAATTTACATACAGTAAAATTCACTTTTGTGTGTGTGTGCGTGAGGAAGACTAGCCCTGAGCTAACATTTGTTGCCAATTCTCCTCTTTTTGCTGAGGAAGATTGGCCCTGAGCTAACATCCATGCCAGTCTTCCTCTACTTTCTATGGGATGCCACCACAGCATGGCTTGACAAGCGGTGCGTTGGTCTGTGCCCGGGATCCAAACCTGCGAACCCCGGGCTGCCAAAGCGGAGCACTCGCCACCAGGCCAGCCCCCAAAATGTATTTTTTTTAGGGGTACAGTTCTATGAATTTTGGCAAATGTATACAGTCACATCCCCACCACCACAATTTACATATAGAATATTTCCATCAGTCCCCCAAATTCCCCTGTACTCCTTTGTAATCAACTTTTCACCTCCTATCTCCAGCCCCTAAGTAATCACTAATTTGATTTATGTCCCTAGAGTTTTGTCTTTTTCTAGAATGTCACATAACTGGAATCACACATTTTTAAGATTAATTTTTGATTACACAGCACTACATGAACACTTTCTTCTTATTAAAAACATTTGCAACACTGCAGATGAGTCCGGAGTCTCCTTTGAAACCACATCCAATCCCGCCCCTCACTGTCTCCTCTACAGGAGGGCTGAGGGCCAAAATGTTTAACAGCTGGCAAGGCAAGGGCACCAGATCAGAGCGGACCTGGGTGTCAACAAACTAGAACGGCCACACAGTGCCGAGCCGTCCACGTGGACATCCTCCCCACCGCACAAAGGGGCCGGCCCAGTGCCGCACAGCTACCAAGCAGAGGAACCTGGAATGGACCTCGGGTCCCTCGGACCCCGAGCCCAGGCCCCTCACTCTATACAACTCTGCAGGGCGATGGGGAGACGACCAAGGCCACAGTCGCTCTAAGTGGGCAGGCGTCTGCAGGACAGTCAACCCCTCATCACAGAGCTGCAACCAGGCCCTGGCTCTCATCTTGTCAGGGCTCCCCATCCCAGCTTCTCTTCTCCCACCTAGATTTCTAGAACGTCAATGGCAATTTTCCTTTGACTGCTGCCACCAACAGAGAGAAAACTACTTGGGGCTGGAGCAGTCGGTTCTACCAGAACTGAGCCAGGGAGCGAGTTTGCCTGCAGACTGAGCCATAGCCCAGGGTCACACCCAGCTGTGAATGAGGTCAAGGATCTGGTATGCGCAAATGCCTCTTCCATCTCTGACATTCTCCCCCACGCCTTTTTCAGCTAAGCTGCACACCAGGAGAAGCAGAGGCTGCTGGCCGGCTCCCCTTCTCTCCTTCTTTTTTAGTATCTGAACATATGGCCACCCAGCTAGAAGACCACATTTCCCAGCCTCTCTTCCAGCCATGTGTTACTATGTTCTACCCAATGAGACATAAATGGGGGTGTCTTGTGCGGCTTCTGTGACATCTCCTTAAGAGTGGCAGCAGAGTGTGTGTTTGTGGAGTTGTCCTACCCTCCCTTCTTCCATCCTGCTGTTTGGAATTTAGATGTGATGGCTGGAGCTCCCACAGCTATCTTGTCACCGAGAAGAGAAAACCAGCATGAGAATGGGGCCAACACAGAGGAAAGTGGGGCCAAGAGTTGAAGAAGGAAGCCAAGTTCTTATGACAGCTTTTTTAAAAACTCCTAGATTAAGCTCTGCCTGAAGCCAGCCACCCTTGAACTTTTCAGTTATTTGTGCAAATAAATTTCCCCCTCTCACACACCCCTTCCTTTTTTTCCCTAAACCAATTTGAATAGTCTTGGACTGCTTATAACCTAGAGATCCTCAATTCATACAAGACCACCATTTTTATCTTGTTAGATTCTACCCAGAACAATGAAGATCTTCAATGGCAGTCTTTGCTGAGACAAGGCACACCCAAGAGCCATATCACAAGTGCCCGTATCCCGTTGGCTACTGTCATTTACCCACCTGGGAACTCTGGGAGTGGCATGGGGCTCTGCAAGAAAGGCCAGCGTTTCTACAGCTCAGGATGGGAAAGGGCTGCCATAGATTTGAGACATTCCTGAGCTAAACTCAGGGGAAAATACCTTCTTCATAATAAAAAAGTGGCTGAATAGTGCTACATTATACTGAAGGCCCCTCCTCTCCTGAGCCACCCCAGAATCCTGAACGTGTCACTCAACCGTCTGGGGCCGCAGACCCTCGGCCTCTCCACACTCACTGCCCACCAGGCCAGCAAGAGCAGGGGATGTGTGGCGGGTGGAAGGCAGCAGTCAGGAGGGGGGCCACCCAGACCTGGGTCACATCTCTGCTCTGCTGTGTGACTCTGGGCCAGCTCCTTAACCTCTCTAAGTGTCAGTCTGGTCAAGAAGAAAACAGAGATAACCCCTTCTGATTTTATACATGAGGATAACATACGTGAAAGCAGCTACCACAATCTCTGGCATACAGTGACTATTCATAAAAGAGTGGTGACTGCTAACAGATCTTTTTGTATTCCTCAAGCTTGCCTGGGACATCAAGACCTGACAACATCCCTGTTAAGCTCTTACAAAATGGGTGGGGATCCCCACTTTTCAAAGAACCTCTCAGGTGTCTCATTTTCACCTCCTAAGGGTGCTGCAGGGTCGGCAACGGAGGCATTACATCCGTCTTACGGCCGAGAAGGCTCTCGAGGGGGCGAGTGACCAGCTCAAGGACACATCGCTTTTTGAATGGGAAATGTTGGTCTTCCATTGAGTGTCCTGCGTTCTCTCCAAGGACCCGACCCCTGCTCCCGAAATGGGACAGAGCAGGGAGGTGCTCGAACAGGCCACGTGGATTCCTGGGGTGGGGAGTGAAGGATGCCGGTCCTAGACGCAGCCGACCCGCACGCCACGTTGCATCAAGGAAGACTCACCCAGCATGATGGCATCCACGGCTCCCCCAGGACAGAACTCGATCATGATCTGCAGAAAACACAAGGCAGAGTGATGGTGAGCCAGGCACACAGCCCATGAGGTGGGGAGAACCCCAGGGGCGAGCCCTGACCCAGGCAGGGCCGGCCAGCACCCAAAGCCCCATCCCCTTGCTCCCAGCCTCTCCTCCCCCCGCCCCGGGGCCTGTTCAGTCTGCACCACCCCCCCAATCTGGCCACAACCCTCACAGGAGGCTCCGCACCCAGAGGAGCGACTGGGGCACTTCATTTTTCAGAAAAAGAAAAACCAAGTTGCCGTGGAAACCCGCAGCTTCAGCAAACAGCCTTTTCAGCCAAGCCCGCACCCTCCCTCTCCCCTCCCCCATGCCCTGCTTGCTCGCCCCCTTGAGAGCCTTCTCGGCCATAAGATGGACATGATGCCTCCCTTGCCAACCCCGCAGCACCCTTAGGAGGTGAAAATGAGACCTGCCAGCTGCCCCACTTCCTACCCTCCACAGCCACGAGCCTCAGAGGACACCTTCGGCCCACGTACAAGCCGGCGAAGTCCTCCCAGAGTCCCAGCACCTGTCTCTCGCCTCCCTCCATCCACCAGAGCCCAGGGCCCTCGCTGGCTCAGAACATCAGAACACCAGGACCTTGAAGACCAGCTCAGACAGAAAAACCGAGGCCCAGAAATGGGATGTGACTGACCAAGGCCACAGAGATTGTTTGATGGCAGGTCCTGGACAGGAAAGCAGGTTATCTAACCCCTAGGTCATTCATTCATTCATTCAACACACACCCAATAGATACCCCTGCAAGAACAATCAGACCCAGGCTTTCGAGGGGCTCCCATCCCTGTGCAGGGGACGGAAGAGGAGAAGTCAACAGGGCCGTGCGTACCGACGCAGGCCCTCCCTCTCTAGTTCACCCCCCTCCTCACTCTTTCTCCTACTCGGGGGTCCTATCGTGTGCAAACATGCCTTCTCTCTTTTCTTCAAGTACGGATTCAGTCGGGTGGGGCAGGGGGAAGCATTACAAACTTCAGGACACACTCCCAGAATCTCCTCCCAGCTCCAGCTCCTGCTTGTGGTGAAGTCCCTCCAACCATGCTCAGCAGAGGCAGAGGCAGACACACTGCTGGTGGGGCGCTCAAAAAGGCCCCCTCACTCTCCAAACAGGACAGAAAATCTCAGCCGTTTTCCCAACATCGGGCCAGAAGAGGTAGGACAGGCCTCAGTGTTTCGATGAGGCCTCCAGCTTGTGGCTGACCTTCCAAGGCTTCTTGGCGATGTAAATATGAGGATGCAGTGATGCACGGCTGGACCCAGGTCCCAGGCCCCCTGCTCACTGGCTGTGGCCTTGGGCAAGTCACTTCAACCGTCTGAGCCCGTTTTCTCAGGGGGCTGCTGATGCCGTTGCTCTTAACTGGGCCCCATCACTGGGCTATTTTTAGGGGAAAAGCCACACCTGGATGCCAGACACCACAGCAGGTCAAGCAGGGGGCTTTAAGCTGGGCCAGGGACACTAGAGGTCCTGGGTTCTAGGGGCAGCAAGATGGTGCCGGCCCACCTAGCCCAGGGCAGCAGACAAGCCACGCTGCTTGCCGTGGGAGAGAGCTACGCAGGGGGTCACCCGTCGGCTCGCACACCACCGCCTGCCAGGGACAGGCTATCCTATGGTGACTCCGGTCCTCCCTGGCCATTGGAACATCGGGCCCAATCTCAGCTCCCCCAGGACTTCTAACACCAGTGACCATCACTCTGAATAACAGTCATCAGAGACGTATTAATGTCTTGCAACCCAAACACTGAGGAAGAGGTAATTCTTTCTCCCACCCACTCTCTCACTCATTCATTTGTTCATTTAATCAACCACCACCCAGCCAAGCTTGTTCCCAGAGGCCAGAGAACAGAGGTGACCTGGACACAGGCTTCGGCCTCTTGAAGCACAGCATATCATTCTGCCTTTTAATAATTCTCAGCTCCACAAAAGAGGACAAAAAATCCTACTCATTGCTAGAAAAAGCCCGGCCACAGAGGCGACAGTGAAACAGCAGCAAAACGTGCCATCATGCAAGGCTGCTTTCTGTGAGCGGCCGGGAAGACAGGCTGATACACACCCAAACCCCACAGCAATGACGAGGCCATCCCGGCCTCGACGGGTGACGGGCATCTGGCTGGGGCTCAGTCAGTATGAGCTGTTACGAGGACTCCTTCCTCGAGCTTCAAGGTTCATTCTTTTTTGTTTTTGTGTGTTTTCTGAGACTCCATGAAAGCTATCCTCCCTCCTCACATCCAGAAAAGTGTAAATACAAACAAATGTTTATGCAATTCCATTTAATTCTCGCATGCCTTGAAGTCCCACCACCAAACCCAGGCCAGGAACCCCTGTTCAGCTTCCCCACCCTACTATCTGTGCGCCGCTGGGCAAGGACCTACCTCTCTGCAAAATGGGCTAATACTCTTGACTCCCAGAATTCCTGTAAGGTCTGGATGAGGTGGTGTTGATAAAGCAACGGGCCCAGGCCTCACACAGACTGGATACACGACAGGCTCAGACCCTCCCCCCTTCTCTAACAGGGTGCAGATGAAAAGGAAAAGGTGGTAGACTTGGGGTCGAGTCCTGGTAGTGCCACTTAATTGGCTATGTGACCTTGGGTAAGCCACTTAATCTCCCTGAGCCTCAACTTCCACATCTGCAAAATGGCACCAATCATCTCTCCCTCCAACGTGAAGACAGTGAAATGAGATGCACAACACAAAAGCCACATCAATTCATATGAACTTGTTCAATCTCGAGCAAACGAAATCACCAGAAAGCATCACCCTTAGACCTTGTTATTTAGGCTTCCGACAAAAATATGCCTTCCCAGAACTACAGTTCAACACAGGTCAGCTATTATCAAGAGTCAGTATGAGAAGTGGCCACCCAGGCAGTTCCTGTGTCTTTCAGTGAAACTGTCCCTTACACAACGCCCTTACACAAGGCCCCCATGACCCCTCCTCTCCAGAGGTCAGTGCTAGGAAGGAGCGAGAGTTCTGCCAATCTGGTTTGCTTCCTCTTCTGTAATTTCAGAGCTCCATGACCCCTTGCACTTCCCTTTTTTTTTTTTTTTGCCTTGGCTGCTAGGAAGCTCTGAGCTTAGCTTTGGTTTTATTCCCATAAGTAAATGCCCCAACTTTGGTTCTATGCCAGGATTAAACCCACGACATTTCACAATTTGTATATGGACTCTGATGAGGTGTTTTTAGGAGATGACTGTCCTGTTGCCCACACTTCAAAAGTGTGAAGCTTTTTTTTTCATAGCGGTCCTTGGCATTAAGCAGAGCATATGTCAGGGTGATGTTCCGCTAGCCTTTTTGTAAATATGGCCCGACTACTCTCACATGTGGCAAAACATGGTTTGGTTTTTCTTCTTCTTTTTTTGAAAGTGTTTTTTTTTTTCCTTCCTTTTTTTTTATTTTTTTTATTTTTTATTTTTTTTTTAAATATTGCCACTTTTTTTTTTTTTAAGATTTTATTTATTTTATTTTTTCCCCCCAAAGCCCCAGCGGACAGTTGTATGTCATAGCTGCACATCCTTCTAGTTGCTGTATGTGGGACTCGGCCTCAGGATGGACGGAGAAGTGGTGCCTCGATGCGCACCCGGGATCCGAACCCGGGCCACCAGCATTGCAGCGCGCGCACTTAACCACCAAGCCACAGGGCCGGCCCTTTCCTTCCTTTTGGTTTAAAATTTTTCACATCTTAGTGCCTTTTGTGTGATGCAAAAAAACAAATGTCCCTTTCATGACATGGTTCTTATTGGGTCCCATGACATGGGTCTTAACACGTTACCTTCCAGCTTGGCAGTGGTGGGGTTCCAGGGGGCTTTCACAGAAATGCATGGGGTTTAATTAACAAAATAATAATCTCAATTTAAAAGTCAATAATAATAGTAAATAAAAATAAAACAATATCTCAGTACCTTAGGAAGTTACTTAATATGCATGCCGAGAAAAGAGAACGGAAGCACAACATCAAGACCCAGGGAAGGACGGCAGGTGGTCTCCACTTGCATGTATTTTACACATTTTATTCAACAAATATGTTATAAAATTTTATATTAGAAATTAACTTTTTTTAATGGAAAGAACTGGCCTAAAATAACCCCTGGCTAGATGAGTCCATTCACCTGAAGGAGGAGGGGGATCTGTGCCTGTCCACAATGGAAGCCCCAGGAGGCCAGGGCCCACAGCGTCCTGGGAAGGAAGGGGGCTCCCAGGATCAAGGGCTCCCGGGTGTAAAGCTGAAGCCCTCGAAACGCTCACCAAGCCCCAAATCCAAGAGCTCCAAGGACCAAGGACCGACTCCTTGAACCCATCAGAGGCTCGTCCATCATGCTTCCTTGAGGGGGTGGTAAGCAGCCTGTGGCTCAGGGTTTTCTCAGGATCCAATGAAGGGAGGTTTGTGATAAGTTTAATCCAGCCACAAGTGTCAACTGAGGGTCTACCAGGGGCCCCACATTGCTAGGCACGGTGGAGGCAACAAAAGTAGAATTCAATCAACAAACACTATCTGAGCTCCTAGCCTGTGACAGGCCTGGGGACCCAGCACGGATCAGACAGGCCTGCCCAAGACCACAGACAGAGGCAGATACGGAGGTGAGAGGTGAGAGCTGCAGGCACACCACTACTCAGAAGCCTGTGGCCGCAGCGGGTAACCCAGCCTGGAGGCATCCTGGAGGGCTTCAGAGGAGCATCCGGGCAGGGTTTTGAAGGGCGAATCTGCCAAGTGAAGAAGGACTAGGACATTCCAGACAGAACATAGCAAGTGCAGAAGAAGGGCAGCATGGAAGAGTGTGGAAGGAAGAATGGTGGAGTGATCCATGGGGTTCAAAAGGATGGGAAGAAAACAGGCCGGAAAGATCAACCAGAACTAGAACTGGAACATCTCAAAGAATGTATAAACTTTATCCTGAGAGCTGTGTGTGTGCCTGGGGAGGGGAACCGCAGGGTTTAAACAAGAGGTGCTGTAGACAGCTTTCTGCTTTAGGAGCTCCCCCGGTTG